GCCCAGGGCTCAGAGTTTCCTGCGGGCCTTCCCACGCCTTCCCCGGCCTGGCAGCGGGCGGGACGCGCGGAACAGAAACCTGAGTGCTAACCGGGGATTTTAACAGCCCTCCGAGTTCTCACGATCGAGTCATTCATTCCAGGGCTGTCGGGGGAGTGTCCCCGGCGTAAGGCGCTGAGCCAGAAATGGAACAAGTCCCTGGTCTTCTGAGAGCTCACGATCCGCGCGGAGAGGCGACTGAAATGAGTAACAAATAATACAGTGCAAGGTGCTAAGCCCTGGTGCGCGACGTGGAGCCACAGGTTTTACTCTGACCTGCGTTTGAGTCCCTCAGGGAACGACGCTGAACCAGCCTCGGAGCGAGCACATCCTTACGTCCAAGATCTTCAAAACTTCCTGGCTCCTGAGCCGGTTAAAACGAGTGTGCCCCTCCTTACACAGTTTGAAGGGGCATCTACATTTCTCCCAGCTAGTTTACGGATATTTTATAGCCCACACTTTTTAACATGCAGCCAATGAACTCTTAAGTACTATAGAGATTAACTACTAATATCTATTTTTAATTTTTTTAATTGATTATTTGAGAGAGAGAGAGGAAGGGAGAGGGAGAGAGAAACATCAAGACATCAACCTTGATGGGCTGCCTCCGGCACGCCCCCTGCTGGGAACCCAGCAGGCAACCCAGGCCTGTGCCCTGACCCGGAGTCAAACAGTGGACCTCTTGGTGCGTGGGTGGGGGCTCAACCACAGAGCCACACCACCTGGTCTAATATCTTTTTTTTTTAATTTTTTTTAGTTTTTAAGTGTCTTCATTGATTTCAGGGAGAGAGAGAGATAAAAACATTAATGAGAGAGTCATTGATTGGCTACCTCCTGCACACCCCCTACTGGGGATGGAGCCCCGCAACCAGGGCATGTGCCTTAACCAGGAATTGAAACCTAATCTGGATCTATAGGTGGATGCTCAACCACTGAGCCACACCCACTGGGTTATCTACTTTTTAAAATACACTACTTTATACTTGGGCTGGTTTCATCCTTTATCTTCTGAAACTGATCTTTACATTCCACATCCTCTCCAGAGTTTTATCCTAATATTTTATATTTGAACTCTTTTATTGACCATCTTATATTTCCTTTTAATAAAAATGTGTATATAAATTGAAATTTAAGGGTAGTTTTTAAATTTCCTATGGTCATAAAACTCTAAGTGTTATTTCAACTAATAAATGTATTGCAAATATTTATAAATAAATATTAAGCATAAAAGTAAAATTTTGTTGGAGAGATGGAGTTAGATGCACTTTTTTCCAACCAGTTTTATCAGTGGATGACTATTACTAAAATGAGAATGAATTCAACATCAATTCTGTTCCAAATTTTCAATTCCGTGGACATAAGCATTGAGAAAACTTGTCCATATAAATAGTAGTAGAGAATAGTAGATGAGAATGGACTTTGTTACAGTAATGCCATTCTTTGAAACTCCTTCCAAATTATATGCCCCAAAAAATCAAATGAAGATCTAAAAGAAAAAATACTCTTAATGATCTTTATCAGCTGACAACAACTCTGACTAGGTGTTCTTTCAACTTTAAGTAACTGAAAACCACCTGACTTATAAAAGGATGTGTTAACCCATTCTCTTTCCCCAGTCCATTGTTTCTCTTTTGTTCTCCTGAAGGTTTTGCATCCCCACGGGTATTACACTTAAGTAAGATTTGGTCTGGGGAAGACTTATGCCATTCTTTTGTAAAGTAGGGTAGGGGTAACTGGGAAAAGGGAGGCTGGAAAAGAAGGTACTGTCACTCTGACTGGGGGCACATCTTCAGGCAGATCAGTTCTAGGGATGGCTAGCTAAGGGAAGCGACGATCAGAGAACTGACTGCTTTAAAACAAATTCTCCATGCTCATGCACACCTTGGAAAGTCTTCAGATAGCATGAGTATCGCAGTATTATGTCCACTGCCTTAGGCCTTGGTCAGCTATTATATGTCCCATGTTGCCTCAAGGGAAATCAAAAATAAAAATAAAAAACAATAGTATGGGGCATTACAATGCAAAATACTAGCCTCAAACATTTTAATTTCAAAGCTAGTCTTTGAGATAGACAATGTATTATCATCCTGTATTGTATATACTGAGATTTTTTTTAAAGGTGTAATATGATTAAAGTTATGTTGTAAGGGTATCTAATACATAGGAGATATGGTGAAAAGAGTGAAAAATGGAGATTAGATATGTGGTAATGGCAGGTATCAAAGCCACAAATGAATGCTCCAGCTGCAATATATATACTGAAGAGTAAAATGAGCTATCTTGGAGCTGGCTTTTTGGAGAAATAGGTGTTTTCCATCACTGGAAAGTTTTGGGGATTTTTAACTACAAATCTTCTGATAATTTGAAAGAATTGGATAATAAACACCTGTATACCTGTGTAGATTCATCAGTTACTAACATTTTGCCACATTTGTGAGGCTGTATGTGTCCCTCTGTCTCCCTCTCTTTCTCTGAGGTCTCCCCCTCCCTGCCTTTCCCCTTACTTACCCCCCTTGACCCCCTCTTTCCCTTTACTCTGCACACAGTAAATAGAACAAAGGCACTCTTCTACATGACCACAGTGTCACAGTGTCATTATCCCACTCACTAATGTGTGTGACTAGAGGCAGGACCTCCAGGTAATGGAGTTCCTTCAGGAGGCATCAGGTGAGAAGTTCATAAAACTGCAGGAAGCAAGGTCAACAGCCCAGCGCCCATCCATGAACTGTTCATTACCAGTCTGCAGTTAGATAAGTACTGAAAACTTTTATCACAACTGCAGAGTAATTTTATGTCTGTTGAATCTAATAAAAAATCAGGGCCTATTTTTTTTATTTCATCAGTTTATTATTCTGGTAACTCTCTTTTACATATTTTGCAAAAATATCAGTCCACTAGAAGCTTAAAAAGAAACAAACACAACTGGTCCTTCATAGATTGAGAACCAATGTTTTATAGTCCTCTCCTTGCTTGGTAATTAATAATTATAAGTTACCCAATAACACACCATTGCATAAGAGCTTTTTGGCATTCAGACTCATTGACTATAGCACTAATGAGTCAGATATAGCAACAATAACTTGAATGCCAATGATTCTTCTACCTACCAAGCCTACTAAGATAGTGAGGACATCTGCAGCTTTCTGGGAGCCCCTGGGGCGGGGGTCTCTCTTAAGCTCACACTCCCCTCTCTCCCAGTGCCCCCTTCTCCTGCTCTGCTCTTCTTGGTATTGCAGGCTCCTACCAGGATCTTGTGACACAAACAAAACAGCCAAAGCCATGGTGTAGCTTGAAGAAATGGAGATCATTGTGTTGACCTTTTATAGGGGAACCCCAAAGCAGAAAGCATGTGCCTAATATCATATACAGTTTTCAATGAAACAGCTCTTTATGCTTTTACTCAGAGCTCTGTTTCTCTTAGGGACCCAGACATGCTTTCATGGGCCTAGATTGGCGACAGATTTGAGTAACAGCTACCCCAAGCTGTATTTATTACTCCCCATCCAATGACTAAGTCTTTCTTATAGGGCTTCTCTGTCTAATTCTCTCTACCACTAAAATGAGTTCTATTCTAGGAAGCGGTCTCAGCCCTCATGTCAGCAGGTTTCCTTCAGTCCTGACTCACCAGGCTGCCAGACATGCCCAGACATGGTTGAATCCCAGCAGCAGACCCAGTTTAGATTCAAGCTGAGATTAGTGCCACATGTGAGACATCTTACCACACATGAGACACTTCTGAAAAATTCTCTAAAATATGAAGCTATTGCACGTTTTGCACCTTTATTTCAGGTTCCCCCTTCCGCATTTTGGTATTGTTATACTGAGCAGGATCAATAGCGGCACAATGACCTTCTCTGATTGACCTGGAGTCCAAAGAAAGTACGCATTTAAATACAGAGCATCTTACTCGAAGATGGAATGATCCGATCTTAAAGCTGGAAAGATCTAGAAGTCCAATAAAAGCTTCCCCAGTTAGTAGATTGCAATTCANCCTTCTCTGATTGACCTGGAGTCTAAA